CACGTGTATTTTTGTGGAGCAATCCAACCTTATTGAATAATAAATGCAGTTATTGAGTATGTTCAACTACTTACCAATCCAATTATTAGCACAGTTATTCTGCCTATGTAACCATGTTCCCCGATGGCTCTTCTATCAGCCCATACCCCTCCAACTATCGAAGATATAATTCCCATACATGCTGGTAACCAACTCAAATATAGTTCTGTTGGATAACCAGGGTAGTAATGTTGTATATAATTATTTATATTATAGCTGTACGTGCGTCCACCGGCACATCTCGCTGCTGCCGCCAATATGATTGTCACAAAAAGTGGATTAAATAGTGGAGCAGGCAATAATGACTGATCAACGCATTTCACAGTGGTCCTGGATGGTAAGGTGGGTCCTTGTGCTAGCTACAAAAAACGCAAATGAAAATGATGACATGTTTTAATACTACTAATATAGTATTGTTTTGTATAACTGTAACAATTGATTTCAGAAAAATAATGTAACACTTAATAACACAGTATGTAGCTGTTTTTAATAAAAACAAAGTACGTTAAAGGGCGGTGGTCGTCGCACAGCGCGTGTTCGAATTTCGTGTAAACAAATAATGTATTTTACACGCGTTGAGTACGTCGCCATGAGTTCCATATCGAACAGGACGCGGCGCGACGACCGCCTCCTTTTAATTAATACTAACTCACCCATCTATGAAATGCATAACATGAAATAGTAACACTATCTGTACATATTGGTTACAAAATACACACCTGTTTGCTCGGTTCTTTGACAGTGATATATGTTATAAATGCCAAGGCAATACCAGGTAATCCAGCAACTACATACGTAGACCGCCAACCAATGTCAACGACAATTATTTTCATAATAAATGCCAAACTGAACCCAAAATGCAAACCAGCTGTAAAAATGCTCAGTGCCAAAGCTCGTAGTTCCTATCAAATAAATTAATGCATTAATATAGAAAATAAAAAACGGCATAACGCGATTCACCTTTCTGCACTATAACCATGTAGTTAGAATATCGTGTGTTATCAAACAAACCATACTAGATATACACCTCTCTGGCCTAGTCATCAGGGAATCATTAGGCGTCCTATCGTGACAAAGTGAAATATGTGACATGGGGTGAGCGTGTCTTGATGAAGTGAGAGTTTACTGTGAAAGACATATCAATATTATTGACGTGAGTATATACAATGACTGACTCATTTGTGACTCACCTGATTAAAATAACTGGAAAGTAGGCTAATAGCAAATGCTGTGAAAGGGGCTTCACTGAAAATGGAAGAAGAATAATATGATTAATGAATATATATGTCCATACAATAATTCAGAATTGACAATTAGCAACACCGACATATTCATGGATGCTGTGTCATGATGATGGTGTAAAATGGATGAACAGAAATCATCGAATTTGTCAGCAAAGTTTCCATATAGACATGATAACTGCCATCAATATGTGTTAGTTCCTGGACAATACCATTAATGAGTATGTATTGCTTTACATTGTTGCATTCATATATCATTTGTTCAATGCTCACAAACCACACTTCATTTATTTCATAATTGAGATTATTGTCATGAATTAGTTTTCGCGTATCTGTTGATCGACTTATTTAGCAAGTTACCGCCACTATGTGTGTTTATTGTATTTACAATCATGTTAACGCCCTCTTGTGTTCGCTTTACATTTTGCTACGCATGCTCTGTTCTCTCGTTGTGTTTTCCCCGCCATGTTGGTTCTGTTTTCCCGTTGAGAAATAAACGGAGTTACTCGCTCGTTAGCGCTCCAACTGAAGTGTCTGGTTGTAGTCCAAGCTCTGTATACAACAGGTCTGTGTCCATACTGGCGTACTAGTGAGTGGCTGTGTTATGTCTGTCATCATTTAGACTCATGCGAGGTCCTGGACGGAACTTGACTCAGTGATTTGGAACTAATTACGATATAACCGTCGCTATTCGGACTACTATTTCTGACAGTTGGTATTTGCAGTTATTAATATAGTGAACGATTAATCAAAAGATATGACGTGTCCAGTACTTAGTGTGATTGGCGATGTGCAAATTGAATGTGTGAAGGTTACGCCTTGTGTCTTTAAACTTATTTGTAATTGGTTAAGTTTTGATACGTAAAAAACGGTTTAAGTCCTTGGTCCCGGAGAGAACTCCACGAGGCGAGAGAGTCTAGGTCAGTGCTGGGCAGAGTCTCAGACGAGACAGCTATTGGAACGTGTTTCGTTGTGTGCGTCTATTTGACTGTAAAGCTTAAGTGACTTTCCCGGTCCGGTACCTCAAGCAGACGTGACATAGAGACAGAGACAATAATTCCCCCTGGCATTATATTAATATTATGTGAAGATCGTTCTCGTAATGAAAACGTCAGTGGTTGATCATAGGATCTGAGATACAAGATGGTTGATATGACAATTCATTTTAGTCGAGACGTCCATTTCGATATTGTACAGGCGTTAGTTTGGCGAGAACTTCTTTTCCCAGTTTTAGTCCACATCAAGTGAGAACAAAGAAAACGTTTAACTGTAACTCCTACCAATACAGTTTTACAAACATAGTAATGTGTCGTGTCTGTGCAAAGCATGCTTTTATAGTGCAATCACTTAAATGTAAACTTACAAAAACGCAATTGCCAATCTGGTGACGGCAATATGCCAGTATTGTGTTGCCAGTCCACCTAATATCACCATAAAGCTCCATAAAACAGCTGAGATTGCTATCACATTCTTTCTGTTACTTTTATTTTTTTCTAAGATAAGTCCTACAGGAACACTGGTGAAACTGAATATAATATTAAATAATGGTCCTGCTAACAATTGGTATTCATAACCAGTCCCTGTGTAATACCAACCACAGACTGCATTGGTCCTCTCTTCGTCACATCTGGAATTATATAATAGTTATCATTACAATACTAGTTATTCAAAAGATGTATTAATTTTCAAAACTAAATACATTCTGACTTTTGAATCCTGAACCACAATATACTTACAATGTGCTGTCTTGTTTACACACATCGATTTCCTGTGTCTTACTGAGTGATCTGCATTCACGTTCCCCAAAGTGTATCTCATTTGCCATCTGAACATTAGTCGCTACCAGCACAAATCTGTAACACCAACAATGTTTATTTTGTATACATATTTATAAATATTACATTCATTTTATTAAATGAAATACATACATTTTATTGTTATACCAATATTTGGTTTCTGTCACATTTCGTAGCGGTGCTTGATTAAATAGCAGTTGATGTAGTAATGATGTAATGTGATTGGCTGAGCAGCAGCCACCTGGGTTCGTACACAATATTGCAGAATGTAATTATTCAATTTATTGTACAACGTTTTGGCCGTGAATGCTACTTTCCCGTTCAGTGTTGTTGCGTGTATTACGTTTACGTGTAATTTTATTGTGACCTGCATTATGTATTCAAGTCAAGTCAACTGGCGTAAGGTTGTGTTTAAACAAATTTGTCCTGAACCCATGACCCGGAACTGCAACCTTCATTTATACTACTTTAGTTGATGTAACTTTATATGGTAATTAAAACTCATTAGCTCAAAAGATACCAGAGTGCGTAAATTTGTTGTCCTTTCTTACGATGTCCTTATTGTGTGCGAGTGATCGAACATGACTTACGGATCCAAATAAACCCGAACATGCGACGGTTTCATAAGAAAAACTGTCCTTTTCCCAGTGAATGTGAACTATTTTAAATTGGATGTGGATTCTGAATGAAAACTGTACACTATCGAACAAAGGCACTTAAAACAATAGACACTTATCGATAAAATTACTATAAATAATACCCAGAATGCATAACAGTAAAAATTGATACAAATTTATTATTGTATTGGCAGTGATATGAATGTACAAGACAATGCGGATCAATACACCAGTATGTTGACTGTTATATTGCCCTAGGCAAGACGATGCTGACAAATAAACCAGTATGTTGACTA